ATAATTTATCATAAATTTTAGATTATCGTATTATATTTTAATTATTTATTGTAGAAAAATTTATTTAGTTGATGATGATATTGATAAGTTTTCCACAAACTATTATTGATAATATAAAGTATTATTTTTTCCATAAATCAATTTATTAAATTATTTTTTTCCACAATTCAATATTATTGATATAAGCAAGCTTTTGTAGAAATTGATTTTGATTTAATTGGTTCAATGAAATTTTAAATGAGTTAAAAAAAAAATTAAAAAAAGTTTTTTTTGATATTATCTATTTATAGTTAATTTAATATTATCTTTGACAATTTTTTACAAATCTTTGTAATTTTGGTTTATGTTAACATATAGATCATCAAATCAAAAATCTTTAAAAGAGAGACGTGATCATGATGAGTTGTTTGGGATACCAAAAAAGATTAATTCTTTTTTTGATGATGTAAGTGTTGATGAAATTAGTTTGTTTTCTGCAAGTTCAAATGAACCATCAAAGAAAGATATTGCTGATAATAAATCAGTTGATGAATTTTTAACTGAAAATTCAAAAGTTTTTGTTAACAATGAGGAATGCAGTAAAACTTATGAAGCTCAGGAGTTTATTGCAAATGAACATTTGGGAAGAAGATCATCTCAGAAGGGACATAATTTTGATATTGATGATAATATTGTTGCTTATGACAATGAAATTAACAGACAGTTCACTGATGTTAAAAAACATAGTATTACTGGTTCTTTACAAGAGGAGATCGAACAAACAGACTTATTAAACTCACAGAAAGAGTTTAAACAAACTGACTTATTAAACTCACAGAAAGAGATTGAACAAACAGATTTATTAAACTCACAGAAAGAGATTGAACAAACTGACTTAATAAACTCACAGGAGAATCCAAAGTATGGTAGTTTGTTTATTTCTGATTCAGAAATTCAAAATACAAATATTGAACATGAATCTCTTCCGTGTGATAACATTGACGATATTATGCAGTATATAGCAAAACACAATCTAGATGAGGAGGAAGTATCTTTAGGTTTTTAAAATTTTTAAAAAAGTTTATCTTGATAGACTTTTTATGTTTTATATTTTTTTGATAAAAAAAAAAAGTTTTATAAATATTTTTGTACTTTAAAGCTTATCGAAATTCAAATATGTTTTTACTGTTGTTGTTATTTTTTTTATGTATTTCTTTTTAATATATTTTTTAGTTATCTTTATTTTTCTTTTAATGCTAAATAATTTATGATCATTTTTTGAAAAATTGAAAAAGTTTGAAACATTTACTATTTCATAGTTGTGGAATGTCAACAAGGTGTTTTTGATTTTTATATTTTTAAGTTTTTCTTAATGTTTAGCAAACAAATCTTGGATGAGAAAGTATCTTTTTATTATTTTATTTTTAACTTATTAAATCTTTAATAAAAAAAGTATATTTTTGTTATTTTATTCTTAAACAATCAATTCTTTGATCAAAGAGTTTCTTTTTGTTATTTTAATTTTAAACAATTCTTTGATGGAGAAAATCTTATTTTATTATTTTAATGTTAACCAATCAAATCATTGACAAGAAAGTGTCTATTTTTATTCTTTTTTATTTATGTAAATAGAAATGTGGAAGTTTTCAAAAATATTTTTATGATAAAATATATTTTGTATTAGAAACATTTTCTTATGATTTCCCCAATTTTACTCAGTGTATATCATATGATAAGAAAAGAGAAGATATCAGATAGATTTTTTTAATGTGTAATGTCAGTACCAGTTGATAGTTTTGCACTTAAGTATGGTTTATCTTGCGTTGCTGCTTCTGTTGCGGAATCAGGTATTTTTCAAAATTTATATTTAATTATAATGGCATAATTGTTTTGAAAAGCTTTTCATACTTAGTTTTAGTATTCAATAGATTCTCATATCTTCATATCATTGTTTATTTTGAACCACAACCTCCTTTAATACTTTAGTGTGTGTCATTGCAATATCACAAGTTTGCTTTATCACAATATTGCAATATATATCACAAGTTTTGTCTTAAAAACTATTATCACAAAATATCACAAATTTTGTCTTAAAAAATATTTTTTATTTGTGAAAACTACTATCCAGTTAACTTCAATTCAAACTTAGTTTTAATTTTAATTTTAACTTATGATAACTAAATTTGATTGAATTTAGTTACTTTTCCATTGGATATCACAAAGACACGACTCCAAATGCAAGGGGAGCATGCTTCCAATATAAAGTATTTTGCCTATAGAGGAATGTTAAAGACTGGTTATGGCATAGGTATATATCATATATATAGGTATCGCACATTTTAGTATTTATTAAAGGTATTTTGAAAATATATCGAAAAGTAAGCATAAATTTTGTTGGTCAAAATTTTGTGTTATATAAATAATCCTCTAAGTTTATTCTAAAGATGTTAAGACAGTTGTTCTAATGATATTTTACAAATATGTAATATGTTTAAGTATTACATATCATATTTTTATTTATATTTGTTTATACATATATTTTACAAATATGTAATATGTTTAAGTATTACATGTAATATGTAAAGTATTACATATCATTACAAAAAGAATATATACAGATAATAAATAACATGTTTTCAACATCAACAAAAAAAAAGCAAATAATAAAAATAATAAAAATTTTATCTCAGGTTTTCACTTTTAGCTCTTTCAGCTCTTGAATGAACCTTTGTTTTGTTTACAAATCATAGTTTGAGTAAATGTTTAGGAAATTTTTAAGACTCTTTTGTATTAAAAGCCCTATCTTCCCAATTCAATCAAAAAATTTTCTACTCTGAGGTTTGTTGCTAATATAAATAATTTCAATTATTATTTTTTGGATGTAAGTGTACAACAGTTGTTGGTATATTTAGTTTTGTGTATATATATATATATATATATATATATATATATATATATATATATATATATATATATATATATATATATATATATATATTCCAATATGAAGTAACATGGCTTTGAGGCTCCGAGATGAACTATCTATGAATAGGGGCCTTTCAATAGGATTACATTTGATACCTACAGCCTGGAATAGACCGGCAATATTGTTACAGAAACACAGCCCATCATGCTGACTGAAGAAGTTAGAGAATCTTTGATGCCACTTCCTCTGATCTGTGACTTGTACGCTATTCTCAACCAAGTCCATTGTTTGAGCCTTGATATCAGAAGTTCAGCTTCCATTTGGTAAGCCTGAGATTCCTAATTCAATTGTTCACATCTTGAGTTATCCATTGGCTCTTGCCAAATTCATGGCTTGCTTCTCTCCTCTGTACCAACCTGTAATCTAGCACATAATAATACATAAAAATTATAACTATTTGAGGACGGGAAATTTTATAATATGGAACGATTTCAAGATGGAACGTATTTGCCTATAGTACACAACTTATGACAAAACTTTAAAAATTGCAACTTCTTGAAACTAGATCTAAAGCATTGAAGATTTATGAAATAAATTAAAATGCAAGAGAAGCAACTGTTCAGTTTACCTTCAAGTGTTTTCTTGAAATACTCGCAAGTGAAATGCAGTGCCCAAGATTTTTCTTGGTCTCCAAAAGGCACGTTGAAGTATGTCTTGTTGGCCTTGCACATTATACAACTTGCTTCCACGAAATACTTTAGGTCTGCAATAACACGAATCGGAATCTTGGTATAAAAACAAGTATAAAAGCACAGACACCTTTTATACTTGTACAGCTACTTTGCAATGCTTAAGAATGTTCTAGAAAGTTCCGAGAGTTTCTCGAAAGTTCTGGAAGTTTCTTGAACATTCTAGAGTGTATAGGAGAATTGTAGAAACATCTGGACAACTCTAGCAGTTCAGGGATATTATAGGAGGAAGGTTGGTATTGGAAGCAAATCGAGAATTTTCTCGAAAACACAAGATTTTCCAAATTTCATTGTCCCAGTCACAGAAGCAAAATTTTTCAGAAATAACAGCGATTTTCTTTCTGTTTTAAACCTAATGGGTTAGGAAAACACACTTTCAACCCAGGAACAGAACAAAAGTGAAAATTTGCTTCATAGTATTATTAGAGTATAATATTATTTGGTTTATTTTGTTGAAAGTAAATGATAAACTAAATCTCTCAACTTACTTTTTATTTATTACAATAAAACTAAATGAATAATTTTTTTTTTTTTTTTTTTTTTGCCTAAAATCAAGCTAACCAATCTTTCACAGGAAGACAATCGCATGTTTTTATATGACCACATTAAAAATACTTTGTTTTGACGATTTGACCACGGCTTTAGACATATTTTCAAATTTTAAAAATGCGCTACAAAAACTTACCTAAACTTATCGAGAAAAAAACTTTAAAAAAGTAAAAAAAAATCTAAAATGAAAGAGAAAATAAAAAACAGTTTATATATAATATAAACTTAAACAGTTTATATATTATAAATTAAAAAAGTATATGCAACTGTCAATTATATTAAAAAAAAAAAAACATTATCAGTAAATTGTTACTTTATTTAAAAGCGTTTCGCTAATATAAAAACATTTGTTAAGATGTTTTGATGTACTTAATTTCATTTTTTCAGAATATTTTTCATTTAGTGTGTTTTTAAAATGTTTTTTTAAATAGCCGCAGTCAAATCGTCATAGCAAAATGTAATTTGCCTGGTCATATAAAGACGTATGATCACACGTCTTCCTGTGAAAGACTGCCAAGTGTTGTATAAATAAATATACTGCTTCATATTTTATTAGTATTAATTTTTTTCTACAATTTTCATTAACTGGCAAACCAGATAATGAAGAAGGACAAATTAGACACACATTTTTCACAAAAGACAACAAGCAGACAAACAAAGGACAACAAAGTAGACTACAACCCATTAAAATTTCTAGAAATGTCCTTAAAAGCATAGTATTTAAAGCTATTGTGTTGAAACATATGTAAATGGTTAATGAATCACATTTTTAAGATCTCTATAGTCTAATAACTGTCTCAGCTGTTACTTTTGCTGATGTCAGCTTTATCTCCTCTGCCAGTTTAATATTGTCGTATGCAAGATATGATGTCATATCAAGTAATTGGTCCATCTTTTTTAGTGCCAACACAAATCGTGTCTGGTAACAACTGGCTGTTCCAATGTTATTTTTGTTTTCAAAACTTTAAAACTGGTCTATTAATAGACTGTTTAATATAGATTGACATTTTGTTTTTTATAACATTATTAACTTATGATTTTTTGTAAACACTTACTTTGACCACATTTAACTGATTCATCTCTACTAATCAAGCGCATTAACTGACTTTTGCATTTTTTTTTGTTTTGCATTTTTTTATAATCCTTGACATTTTAACCAATTATTTACTTGGTCAGCCATTGATACATACTTTTGATGGATAGTTTACTAGGGTTAAAGCTAGCATGTTTGTTCAAATTAATTTTTACCAGTGTCTCAAGTGTGGCTGACAAACTCTATTTATTTGAATGTAAAGCTAAATTTAGCAATCTTATTTTACTATTTTTTTAGTCATTGAGGAAGGTTTAATGAGTTTATGGAGAGGATTAACACCTGCTATTTTAAGACATTTTGGTATGTTTTAATTTTATACTTACATTTTAATTGATTTTTAATACTTTGCTCTAGTTTCCTGTATTTATTATAATTTAATTTTAACAAAAGCAAAACAAACTTTTTTGTAGCTTAATGGTTTACAATTAATTATAAGTTGGTAAAATGTTTAGTTTATGTATAAAGATATGTTTAGTTATAAAAAAATTTAGGTATAAAGGTTTTTAGTGAAGGTATAAAAGCATTTGATAAAGCTGTTTATAAATTTTGATTTGAACATGAACATTTTTTCATACATATAGAAAGATGCAAAAAATTTTGTATTATATTAATAATTATATATTCGACAGCCTTTAGAACTGAGCCTAGCCAGTATCTCAAAGTATTCTCGAGGTGTTAGAACTCATGAAAGAATCACAGCATGATAAGATATTTTTTTTAATAAAATTTTAAATTTTATGTTATAATAAGCTATAAAATAAAATATACATTTTTTTACAGAAAGTGAATAAAAATCAAAGATTGTAAAGTAAATAAAAGAAAAGTTTACACATTAAAGATCGATAAAATAAATAAAATATTAAACAATTTATAATCAAAACAAAACATACATTTTTTTGTTGTTGTTTTTTAACAAATGTGATAAAAATAAAATTATAAAACAATTATAAAAATGCTAATTATAAAAAAAGCATCTATAATTTTAAAATCATACAAATAAGTTTTGAAAAAACACTTCATAATGATTCTTTATGATTTTTTTAGTTTTTTTTTTTGTGTATATTTTTTTATTTTTATTTTTTTGTTGTAACTTTACTTTTGTGTTGTTTATTCTGTGTTTTCTTTTTTGTTGTACCTAATATTCATATTAGGTACAATAAAAAAGGTGTTATAAAATCTACATTAAATTATACAAAATATACCAAATTAGGAACCTTTTGTATTTATATTTTTTATATTTTGTGCATCTTGCATTTTGTAAACCTCGTATAGTATTGAATTTATTGCGCTAGTTTCCTTTGAAATCAGGTTAAATTTGTTAAAAAGTGTCTTAATAGCTGTTTAAATGGGAAATTTTATACTAATGAAGATAATTTTAAAAATAAGTTTCTATATAAATTTTTTTATAATTATTTTATGTAATATCTTTATTTTTCAATAAAAATATGCTTTTTTTATTAACTATTGTTTTTAAGTTTATACTGGTTGTCGTATGGGTTGCTATGAGTATCTTCGAGATAATATTATGAAGAAAAATGTGGATGGCTACTTCCCACTTTGGTAAATGTTTTTTATAATTTTACTATAATTTTACCAAAACTTGTTTGTTGTTAATATATCATTATTATTATTGTAATCATTATATACACTACTTTGGATGTAGTGGATGTAGTGTTAAGGTTTGGGTCTATTTTGGTTAGAATGCCACATGTGACTTTCTAAAAACTCTTTCAGAAAGATAGCTCAATGAGAATCTATTCATTTTTTCAGAAGAAAATGACTTGAAGCTTAAATCTAAAACATATTTTTCAAAAACTTGTTTAAGTTGTTTACTTGACTGAGTTCAAGATCAAATATTAAATAAGATTATTCAGCCTCTGCAATCACAAGATCTAAAAAGATCTCTTTAGATCTTTAGATTCCTATTGAATTTTTATGGGAGGAATTTAAAGTAATGACAAAAACTTATGCCTAATGATGCATAAGATGTGGACAAAACCTATTAGTCAGTGGCATCGAATTGATTTGGACAAATTGGATAAGTCCTTAAGTAGAATGTCAAGAATATGTATGGCAGTTATTGTTGCTAAAGATGATTAAAAGGCAAGTAAATTATAAATTAATATAATCAGACTCTATTAATTTTTTTGTAAACCTAATAAAAAAGAGGATGACATATAATTAAGGTAGACTTTGCTTACAGTTTCTCTCTCCAAATAGTAAGTAAAACCATGATATCTTATATTGAAAAGTACAACTTTTCGAATAGTTATGGACAGTAGTGTATGTGTAAATATATATATATATATATATAATATATATATATATATATATATATATATATATATATATAATATATATATATATATATAAAAAAAAAAAAAAACATGAGTATTTTAAATAATTTCATCAGTATTCGGAATATCCACCCCTGGCTTTCAACACCGCAGCAATGCGCTTTGGCATTGACTGAACAAGACCCACACAACACTCAACAGAAATATTATTCCATTCAGTTTCTAGCAATATAAACAGTTTTGTAGCATTCTTCGGCTTCTTTCCTTTAATTTTCTGATATAAAATTTCCCACATATAGGATTTCTGTCGGTACTGTATATATATATAAATAAGTATTTATATATATATAGTACCGAGAAATAAATAGTATATATATATATATAGTACGAAGAATGATTAATGAAACGGTTGCTTCCCCATTCTAAACCTTCAAAAAACAGTAGCTTAAGGTAAGCAGAAAAAGTGAGCAAATGCTTATCAAAACACGCTTTAGTAAGTGTATGTATATATACACTTACTAAAGCGTGTTTTGATAAGCATTTGCTCACTTTTTCTGCTTACCTTAAGCTATACTGTTTTTTTTCAAAAAAGAAGAAAAAACGAAGAATGATGAATGAAACAATTGTTTCCCCATCCCAAACCCTCAGTCGATGTAGCAGCACTCCACTGCGAGTCAGGCTATTTTTCAGACGATGTATGTACTGAAGCCCTCAGCAGCAGGCTATTTCAGTATTTCAGTATTAGGGCATGCCACAGTACCACACACATTTTTCGAAGAATCAATTTTTGAAAATGAATTTATTGAATAAAACTAAAACATAAAATTTTTATTAGGGTTGGAAATCCCGAGATCCTGAAATCCCAGGATAAAAAATAATCCTAAAAACCCAGGATTATTTTTAATTGTTTTTTGGTTGAACATTTTAAAATTGAAATTTGACTATATTCATATTGAAAGTTCCTGAGTTATTTTTTTTTTGAAAAAGTAGGTCACAGATTTTACTTTAAAATCGGCGCCGTAAAAGCCAGATACGCACGTACCTATACAGTGTCTCAAAAAATTATCTGACCAAACATTTTTTTAAATATTTTTCCTAAAAAAAGTGCTGTATTTTTGTATATTTCGACTTTTTTGGTAAACTCAAGATTAATAAAAATAAAAGAACATAAAAATAAAAAATAAATCTATTTAAAAATAAAAGTTTTTAAATAGATTTAATTTATTTTAGTGTAAAGTATGAATCACAAAGTTTTCAATCTTAAAATAAAGGAACTTAGGTCGTTTTTTTATTGTCAAAAAAATATTCGACCAAACATTTTTGTTCTATAATAAGTTATTAAATAACAAAACAATTATTTTAATACTTTGTAGGCCTCCCTTTGCTTGGATTACAGCTTCTAGACGTCTAGGCATTGCTTTGACTAAAGATTTTGTTTCTTCTGGTTGAATCTTTTCCTAGGCTTCTTTAATTGCCACTTTGAGGTTATCTTTTTTGGAAAATGACCGATCTCTAATTTTTTGGTCTAAAACTTCCCACAAATGTCCAATGGGATTAAGGTCCGGTGATTGTGCGGGCCATTCCAAGACCTTAACATTTTCAGCAAACCACTCCTTGGTTTTAGTGGCACTATGCTTGGGATCGTTATCTTGCTAAAATGTAAAATTAGATCCTAGCTAAAGTTTTCGAGCAGATGACTTCAAATTTTGCTTAAAAATGTTTCTGTATTGCACCTGATTAATTATAGTATCAATAAATTGGAGTTTTTCAACACCCTTTCAAGCCATTGAAACCCATACCATCACATAACCACCACCATACTTGACAGTATTTATCACGCAGCTTAATTTGTAGGTTTCTCCAGCTTTTCTCCAAACTTTTTGGGCTCGATCAGATGACTTTAAGTTGAATTTTGATTCGTCGCTCCACAGGATCTTTTTCCAGAAACTTAACGGCATGTTTTTGAACTTCTTAGCAAACTCCAATCTTCATCATGTGTTTCTTATTCAATTATGGTTTATTACGTACAAGTAGTCCTTGAAATCTCTGGCATTTGATACGATTTCTGATTGTCTGATGGGATAATTTAATTCCATAATTCTCTTCAGCTAGCTTAGCCAGTTTTCGAGCAGAAATGAAGCGTTTTTAGACAAATAATAAACCAACTGAAGCATGAATCAAAAAATATGAACACTAAATAACATACTATTCCCAATGGAACTAAAATGACAGACAAAGTAAGTATCCCTATTCATTGTTTTTAGTATAATTTAGAGCGTAAACATTTTTTTTTTGTGAAAAACTTGTTTGGTCAGATAATTTTTTGAGACACTGTATATGAAAATATCAAATTTTTTCATAAAATGCTTAGTCCAGATTTTGCTGAATTTAAGAAAAATTTAGTACTCTTAGATACTTAATACTTTTACATGAAAGTGGGTGTTTATTAATTTTTGGAAAAATTTTCCCACCTATCCTTAGCTTATTAAGACCTCTCCCCCTCTGTTTATTAAATTCACTTGTTATAAACAAAGAACTTGTTGTCTCATAACTAAAAAGTTTTCAAGTATTATTTTCCTAAAGACATAAACATGTCTTAAAAATTAGAAAATATAAACTTATTTATAAAAATAAAATAAAAGTTTTCACCTACATGTATAATAAGTCAACCCCCTCCCTCCATTTATTAGATCTGGACAAAAATTCTCACTCACTTGATAGTGAATTAACTCCCAACTTGATAGTGGGTGCTTGCAGCCTTGTTGGAAGTGAAATAGTACTTAATATATATATATACAGCCCTTGGATTTAGGGTCTTTAAGTGTTTGGGGTTGGCAAAAAGTTGTCAACCTCATTTCTATGTTTTATGGTAAGACCTTCGTTTCATATTTTTTCTGCCGATTTTTTAAAGATTGAGATATATTTTTTAGTTTATACTTATGTCAAATGAGGTTTTTTGTTCCCACAACTACCACAGTTCCCAAACTTAAATCTCTCCCACAGTTCAATTAACTGTGGGAGAGATTTGAGCTTGGGAACTCTCCTTTCTGCTTTTTACATTTGATGACAAACTTTTGAATTGATCAATGATATGCTGTTCTGTTGGCATTTTATTCATTTCACTAATACTTTTAACAATAGCACATCTTCTTAAAGTCTTAGCTTTTTCAAACCTCACTAAATTTGATTCCCAAACTTTCTTATTCTTTTCTGAAGCAAGACAATTTTTAGCCATTTTTGTATGTCTATTATGTTATTTATAACTCATTAGGATAACACTAAAAAGATAGGAAAAATTATTTTCAGCTTGGGGGGTGATTTTTTTCAAAAATTAACATTAAAAACTTATATTTTCTGTTTATAAATATAATTTCTCCACTTATGGTGGCATGGGAAATTAAAAATTCTTGAAAAAATATTTTAGTCATACCCCTAATGTATATACATATATATATATATATATATATATATATATATATATATATATATATATATATATATATATATATATATATATATATATATATATATATATATATATATATATATATATATATATATATATATATATATATATATATATATATATATATATATATATATATACATATATATATATATATATATATATATATATATATATATATATATATATATATATATATATATATATATATATATACACACATATATATATATACACACATATATATATATATATATATATATATATATATATATATATATATATATATATATATATATATATATATATATATATATATATATATATATATATATATATATATATGTATATACATTAGGGGTATGACTAAAAAATTTTTTCAAAAATTTTTAATTTCCCATTCCACCATAAGTGGAGAAATTATATTTATAAACAGAAAATATAAGTTTATAAAGTTAATTTTTGAAAAAAATCACCCCCCAAGCTGAAAATAATTTTTCCTAACTTTTTTATATATATATATATATATATAAAAAGATAGGAAATTTTTTTCATACTTATATATATATATATATATATATATATATATATATATATATATATATATATATATATATATATATATATATATATATATATATATATATAAATATATATATATATATATATATACATATATACCATTGTTTTTCGTCATTTTTAAATGTTACATATTAAAGAGAATATTAAGTGTTTATTAAGGAAATCTATTATTGCTGGTATGTCAATGGGAGGGCTTGCGCAGTTTCTTGCTTCACCTACTGATTTAGTGAAAGTTCAAATGCAAATGGAAGGGAAAAGATTGCTTCAAGGTCATAAAAAAAGGTTTAATATTTTGTAACAATTTTTATATTTAGGTATTGTTTGTTGAAGTGTTTTAATAGAAATGCTATTCAAAAAGTATATTTTTATTTAAAAGAAGTTTTATATATTTCTAGATACAAAAATACATTTCATGCATTTAAAGTAATTGCAAATGAAAATGGAATAAAAGGACTGTGGAAAGGATGGCTTCCTAATGTACAACGAGCTGCACTAGTTAACGGCTGCCTTGGGGGTTAGTTTTTAATAAACAACAGGCTGCTCTGGCTAATATTGCAGATTAGTTTGTAAACACACAGGCTTTTAGTGTATTATATAAATATTAGAAAAGATCAAAGTTATGAAGTTATTTATTTTAAATGTAATTACAAATGTAATTTGAAATAATTTTCTCAATTTAAAAATATTATTTTCTAGGATTTTAACATTTATCTTCACAAATAGTTCTAAAAATTTTATTTTTAGTTTTAAATTATTGTTGAAAGGATTTTAAAAGCGATCTATAAGATGTGAAAAATTTTAACTTAATTATAAAAAGCAATCTCAAGACAAATTTGATATAAAGATTATAAAAAATTATTCAAAATATTTTTTCATAAACTTAAGATTAAACATAAACATAAGAAATATAAAAATATATGTTGAAATATATATAAAGAAATATATATATAAATATAAAGAAATATATATTGTTCATGCTTTAATGATATTTTCTTAAGTAATAATAGAGCAGCATATACGAAGAAGTGCATGTTGTGCATCTTTAATCATAAAGAAAAATCAACTTCACAGTTTCGAAAGCAAAGCTCAAAATACTTGAAAAGTAAAGTAAAAGGAAAGTTTACTAAATTTAAATTAAATAAAATCTAAAAGTTACTTGAATTGTATTGTACCTCTGTAATAAAACAAGTGTGCATTGCACAATCAGACGCACATGAATTTTGCAACATTTCAGCATATATAAGGCATGAAACTTCTGAACAAAGAATGGGTACAGAAGTATCAATCTTTTGTTTAGAAGTAAAATATATACATATATATATGAGAGAGAGAGAGAGTAATTCCATGTCAATTGAGCCAGGCCATGTCACCATACATCTCAGATTTTGCTGATTTTTATACAGTTGAGAGTACTTAGTAAAACAAAAAATCCTTGAAAATTTTAGCTTCTAGCTCCAAGAGGATCATGAAATATGATCATTTTACTTTTAACTGATCTTGGCCAGGCCCCTCTTGTCCCCTCAGAAGTGTGACCTTTGTTTAAAGGTTCCAAGTCACATAGCTTTAAAAATATTTGATCTTTTAACTTAAAAATTTGTACCTGGCTATTTTCAGGGTCGAAGAATCCAATGAAATAATCAGAAATGTAAAAAATTTTTTTTAAGTACTTGTAATTATCAATTTAAATAAATTTAGGCAATTTTTTATATACCTGATTTTGATGCTCAAGAAAGCCATGTGGCCTTGATGATATAAAAAAAAAAAATTGTACACATTATTCTATGTTTAATGATCTTTCAGAAAACATAAAAATTTTGATCTGCAAGTATATGGATTTCCATATATGGTTAACGGGGCACAGGCCTCACTATTTTGTAGCAGAATCTTGCCATACATTTTTCACTACCTTTCAGACTAGCTGGAATGATGAAAATTTTTGTATTTATGTAGTGTCAATAAATGTGCATTTTAAAATTAAAAAAAGGCCCAAGACACTAGGGGAGGGGGCTGGGGGGATGTGCCCCACTTTTTTTGACCGGAATCTTGAGATGGATTTTTCAGTATCTTCCAGACTAGTTGGAGCTTTGAAACTTTCAGCATTTGTGTAGTCCTGATGAACATGCATTAAAATAGTTTCAGGTCAGATGACCAGAAGGTCTATGGGGCTGGGGCACTGGGGACCATGCCCCGCTTATTTTAAAAAAAATTTTTTTTTTTTTTTTTGTCCTAAATTTAAGATAACTTTGAAAATATTGTATTTAAATATTTTATTGCTTTATGCTTGTTCCGTTTTACTTCATTATTTACAAAATAAAATACAAAAAAAAAGAAATTGTCAAGATAATGCTAAGATTAGCTTAGATGCATTGACGGTCAAAGTATACAAACGTCCATTTGTTGTTACAGGTGCATCAATTATACTTGGTAATTGGAACCCAACACTCATCTACTCTAGATGGCCAGAAAAGTTTATTAAAAGGACCGTGCGGGTGCATAAATGTTACCATAACATCTTGCTCTATATTATCAACTTCATTGATCATACCAATCCAATCAAACGCATCATATTTACACATAATAACTTCACTAAATTTCAAGGCATCAATGTTAATTTGCTGATCATTCTGAGAACTTTGAATACCAGAAAAAGAAAAAATGCCTGTTATATGAACATCTTCACTTGTTCGTTTAAAGCTAATAGTATCTATAGATTCTGGTTTAAATTGATGATAGCTCCTAGTTCCAGGTATTGTTCTACTTAGCTGAAAACGTGTTTTCAAAGTGGTGCGCAATTCTGTCAGTCTTTCTTTTTCAAATTTGAAAAAAATAATCCTTTTAATATTGTTAGTACAGTAATCAAACATTTTGTTACAATTCAATATCTGGTCATTTACGGGCCTTTGTAGACTTGCATTTGTAGTTAATCGTTTTACAATGCCACCAATACCATCACATGATGACTTACCATGACTTGTAGCAAAAAATGTCCACTCTGCATCAATGTCAAAATCATTTTTATGGAGACAGATATTGTAAAGGTTTTTGTGGTTTTTATACTGTGCAGCACAACCATCAGAAAAATAAAGAATCTTTGAAATTTTAGGATGATATTTTTTTAAATAGTTAACTATTTGTGTTTGAACTTCATACACAAAACCAGTGTCATGCTCATTATCTTCTTACATGAAACAAAACGATTTTTCTTCAAGTTGGTCATTTTCGTTTAATAAATAGAGGGCAACAGGGTGCAATGTGCATTGACTTTTGCACCAATGGTAACTTTGGATTTCATCTTGAATCACAAAAGTGAAGTTTTCTGCAAAGTCAACTAAGACAATACAGCAGTTTTTTGCTAGATTTTTCTTTTGTTGCTTTAGGTATCTTGATTGACATTTTGCAATGTAGGAATGAGCTGTTAACTTGTTTATTGCCTCTGATAACATCAATTTGTATTCTTCAATAGTTGTTGTCTGATAGATCAATGTTGTTCTGTTTGTTTTCTGCCACTGATTGAATGACACCTCCTCGTCATTGTCATTATCAATTAGTTGTGCATCCAGAAACTTCTTTAAAGAAACCATATCTGGACAGTTCGGACATCAATGAACCATGCACTCGTTACTTGTCACATTACAAACAACTTTTGTCATCATATCTTTGTAAGTACATTTCATTTGTATAGCATTGGTCAAGAGTATTGCATTTTGATGGAGGGTACATACACAAACAGAATGAGTGCCTGATGCTCCAACAGTTATACACCATTTTGGTCTTAAACTGCAAAACTAAGAAAATCCAATAACTTCTTGAGGATATTTAGTTTTAAAAGAAACATAAAGTTCTTTAAGATTACATAAAATAAGACGCTTTTGCATGTGTTGTTTTCTACCAATACTTACGTAATCTTTTTTACCAGGCATTTGTCTAGTAAATTCTTCATCATGGTATATATTGTTAACTCTATTTAATGTTATTTCTGAAAATGTTTTTCCTTTCTTAGTGCCTGGAACTGAAAAAATTCCACTTATTTTCTTTAGTTTGCGCGCTTCTTTAATTTGGTATATAGTGACGTTGAAATATCTTGCAGCAAAATTTCTTGACCAAGATTCGGGTGTAAATGTTAATAACTGATTTTTAGTTTTTTGGTCAGAAACAATTAACTTTTCTTTTATTTCTGCTGTTAGTTTGTCTAAATCATCACATTTACTTTTGTCAATAATTTTCGTATGAGGAATTTTATGTTTCAGTTCTTCTTCCCTAACATTATATACTTTTGAAATATGCTCTTCATACTTTGACATTATTTTTATAACTTTACTTTTAGCAACAGATAGCCGTTGATGCTTTGGAATGCCATGAAGTTTTATGGGGGATACACCTATTGTTTCCAAACTAACATTTAATGCCTCTCGTAACTTTTCAGAAGTAGCACATGAAATAGATTCCTCAAATTCACAATTATCTTGTTCATGAAATTTACTGATTATAGCGTCAAAGCAGCTCCGACAAAGTTGATATCCAGGCACAACATTTGGAAAATTAATTCTCAATTGCTTTGCCATGTCTAATGTTATTATTATGACTCCCTGATAAGAAAAGAACAATTTGATTTTAGTAATTACCTATGAATATGAAAATTATTTGTACTTATTTCCATATACATTGCATAACCAGATCAGCTTTTTTTCAAACTTTTATAAACTAGTAGATTTTAGTTTCATTATTCAAAAAAGATTTTACAATAATTTTTTATCAACAATATTTACTTTTGATTGCTTTTGTTTTTGATTTATGCTTGTCCAATAAATTGCAACATTTTGTGTGCTTCTTTTCAAAGTGTGTACCAAAAATCTTTTCATGATGAAGGCAGATTGTTAAAATTTTATCATCTGTTATTCCAGATCTCCAAATAAATTCTTCTCTGGCATCTTCTCTATAGCAATCAAATTTCTTTAAATCAATCTTTCTACAATAACTTAGTTTATGACAAGTATCATTTAATTTTTTTCCAAAATCACATGAATCCATTCTTACTGTAAGACTAAAAACATTTTGAGATTAATTTAAAAATGAGAAACCAATAGTAATTAATTCAATGAAAGCAACTTAAGCAATCACCATGGTAATACAAAACTAAATAGTGATTGATTTCTTTTATCTTACTTTAACAAAAAGAAAGTTTCCATTTCACAAAGTTTAATTATAATCAATTTGTTAATGTTAAAAATGTTAATGATGACTTTAATAGGTAACAAATTTCTTCTATACTAGTGTAATGACAGGATGTTTTTTGTTACTGTAAATAGTTCTTATTTAATAAAATAACTTGCTGTTAACATTTTAGAATTAGCAAATATCAAATAAAATAATGATTTTGAAAAATTGATAAATTTCTTTTTTATTGATATAATGTTATGACAGGATGTTTTTTTCTGTTGGAAGTAAATTAAACAACTTGCTGTTACCATTTTAGCATTAAGATATATTAATCTTTTTTAATTAAAATTTTAAATT